TCCTGGCCACAGTTAACACTGTTTTTCTCCCTTGAATGTGTACTGCCAAATTTTTGTGTGGTGGTTTATAGTGAGCATGGTATATGCATTTAAAGAACTAGAAGGATACTACTTATATTTACTTACATGAATAGATAAAATATCATAATGCATGTTAGTGGATGGTGTAGCACGCTGATGTTGACAACTAAATGTATGTTAGTGGATGATCTAGCTTGCTAATGTGAATAGCTTGAATGAAGACATAATTGCCACAATCACATGCTAGATCACAGCCTTTTACATGTATGCTAACCAACACTTTCTTTTCCATAACTTTGGTGTTCTAATTTTGGATTGTAACCCAATTATGTTCTATTTTCGGTGCAGCTCCCTCAGCAGGATAATTCATATGATTGTGGCTTGTTCTTGCTCCATTATGTGGAACTATTTTTGACAGATGCTCCAAGTAACTTCAACCCTCTGAAGATTGATGTATTATCTGGCTTTGTGAGTTCCAAAGTCTTAATTTGTTTTCTTTGTTGTTTAATGGCATCCTGCTGTTTCTCTGCCATTCTGAAGCAAGTAGTTTGCTTGGTCTTCAAGCTCAATGTTGTCACCGTTATGAACTCTGTCAGAACTGTGCTAACTGTTTCTTTATTATTGTTGTATAGTCTATGGGTGCTAAGAATTTTCGATAGTGGATGTTTACTTATTTTGCATTTTTTTATTATTATATTCAACTATAATCCTGATGTGCCTTCATATGTTGGAAATATTCTAGCACAATTATCAATTAAGTCAGTGAAAATTGCACTGGTCTAACCTAAGTACAGTTAGTGAATTACACAAGTTAAACAATATGAGTATTTACAATCTCACAGAATTATGAGTGTTTGATATTCAAATTCGTAGTTAAATTACAATGACAGATATTGTCTGAACATTTATGTATAAAAAGGTCACCTTCACTTGTTCCTTGTTCCACCTTTACATTCTTTTATAGCTTCTGTTAGTAAAACTTTTCCTTGGCATTAGTTTTGTTTGACTACGGCTTTCTTTTTCTTTCACAATTTTGTCTGTGCTTTGGCCATTTAATTCTGGTTTTCTTCAAATTGAGTCATCACAATATCCTTGAAGAGCAAAGTCATTCTGTGAAATATTTTGAGTTTGGATTTTAATAGGTGTATTAATTTCTTGAACGTTCACTCTTAATGTACTTTTCAGCTTAGTGATGATTGGTTTCCACCCCCTGAAGCTTCTCTCAAGCGTTCGGTGGTCCGAAAGTTAATTCTTGAGCTGGTGACTGGATCTTTTCAGAATCATCCCATGCTAGCTTGTGGTGGTGAGCAGCTTGATGAAAGACATCAAAGATGCTCAAATGCTGAACTGGAACCAGCTAGAGAATTTCGTGCTCAGAGGTGCTCTGCTGGTGAACCTGAAACAGTTTGCACAGTTGATGACGGGACTCATGAAATTCAGCCATCCAAGTCCATCTGTTTAAATGATTGCGAAGAAAAGGGGCTACCTACTTCTGGATGCATGTTGGACACTGGAAGTGTTCCAATTGTCGATGTACAGAATCTACAAGAGTCAGAGGTATATTATTAGCTGATAAGTTTAAACTCCTATTTTACTTTGCTTGAGCTTGATTACTGATACCATGGTGTGTTATATTGTTTGGTAGCAGGTGTGTGCTCCACTCAAGGATACTATTGTTTGCCTGTCAAGCCAGGATGAGAAAAATGAGCCACTTGTATCTAGCAGTCAACTTAATATGAGATCATATGCCCCAGAAGACGATGAGGTGCTTAAGGAATCAAATTGTGTGGTAACAGATAAGGAAAATGAGAAGTCTTTGTTTCACAGCCAAGCAGAAGCTGAGGTGCAGGATATTATGGTTTCTACAAGCTGCTCAATCTCTGAAATTTTTGCTCAGAAAATTACCAGCAAAGAACAGTCCTTTAAAAAAAGCATAGAAGTTGGGGATGAGTGCTTTATACCTTCTCAAGATATGGATTATGTTATGATGTTTGACTCCAGCAAAGATGACAATGGACCAAATCCAGAAAGAATGACAGCCGAAGGTGATTGTGTCGATCCTCATGATGATCTAGATTCAGTCACACTAGGTGATATTGGCAAAAATGTTGTAGACAATGCAATCATTGAAGATATGAGGAGTATTAACCCAACTGCAAGCAATGTCAATCATGGTGAGCTGTATGTTTCATTGCAGTTGCCAGAGGGAAATGCGGACAATGGTATGACTGGTGTTAGCATAGCTTCCTCAGACTTAAAAGAAGGAAATATTGAGAAAGTAGTGGCAGGTGCCTCTGCACATGAAAGTGATATAAATGCCAATGGTAGCTCTGAGTTGAAAATAGGAAATACGGACAGTGGTATTACTTGTGTTAGCACAGCTTCCTCAGACTTAAAAGAGGAAAATATTGACAAAGTAGTGGCAGGTGACTGTGCACATGAAAGTGATATAAATGCCAAGGATAGCTCTGAGTTGAAAGATGGAAATACTGATAATAGTATTACTGGTGGTAGTACAGTTTTCGTGACGAGAGCGAGGGAAACACTGACCAAACAATAGCAGGTGATTGCGGAAATAAGAGCGATTTAAATGCTGATGGTGAGGGTGCTGACAAATATTTAGCAACTGGCAGTGTTCTTCCTTGTGAAGATGACACAACCTGCACTGATGGTGTGATTCTATCACTAGATTTACCCTGTAGCACAAAGAATGAAACAGTTTCCAAGAACACATCTTCTGATGCTGAATTGCCTCTGCTTGATGGCACCTGCGAACTTGTAGATAGACCTTCCACGCCAAAGAATGGCATGTCTGAGAACACATCTTTTGATGGTAAAAGGCCTGCTTCTGATAGGACCTTGGAAGAGAATGAAAGAGTTATCCCCGGTGATGCAAAAACAGAAAGGCATTACAAGCGACGGAAGGTTTTGGCCTTAGAGAAACAAAGCAGCTTCTCAGGAGCAACTTCTACAGATTAGATTTGTCTGGTGTGAGGCTTAGTTTTAGCTTGTGCTATATGTAACCCATCTAGTCGTTGGCAATATGCTGTGATATATTTATGTAATATATAAGGTACTGACGTAATGTCACCTGCACTGCATAGGCAAATTGCCCGATCCACGGTTTCTAAACATGTGGAAGGCCTTGTTTGCCTGATTAGTTGGGATATGCCCTGCTATGATTTGAATTTGGAACTTTCTATAATCAATTTTATCTCAAAACGCAAACATGTTTACAACCATGTGGACGTGCTGTTTAGGTGGACAACAAATTGTAACTCAACGAATTGACTAAAAAAGTATTAGAAATTTAATGATCATTTTGGATAGCAATCTTACCTAGACGCCTAGACCAATAACCTCCCATTTACTATCACCAAACACAATATTCCATAGGTGATTAGGGGGATAACATAATATTCTCTCAAGTCACATGATTTGTACGTTCACTTAAGCACCCAGCTTAAGCTTAACCCATCGGCGGAGTATGCCTCCCAAAAAACATCAAGTTCTTGTTTTAGGTACGAAAATAAATTTGGATCCATTGGCATTAGCAACAAAGAACAAGTGAACAATCTTAGAAACCCATAAACTTCTCTTGGGTGCATTTCGGTTTGTAGGCATACTTGTTTCCTCTAGGCACAAGTGGTCGTTGTTGCCTACTCTAGGTCCCTAAAAAAGAGTCATTCTCGCTTCCCAAGAAGTCAATAATTTTTAACTTTGATCAAATATATTTAACAAAATATTAATATTTATGGTACATAATTAGTATCATTAGGTAGATCGTTGAATATACTTTTATAATAAATTTATTTAGAGATATAAATGTTTCACGCATTTTGTACAAAACTAGTTAAAGTTGAGAAAGTTAGACTAGCACGATTTGCATAGCGACTCTTTTTTAGGAAGGAGAGAGTAGATTGACTTATGTTGTACTTGTATGCCTTCTCATGACTTGCTTGTGCCTTGGAAACCTTGGTGCCTTTGGTGCTCACCGTAGGTTGCACCTCACCAATGACCTCTTGGTTCTCGAACTTAACACAAGACACACCATTGACCCTCTCTCTCTACCAATGGCCTTGCCACCACGAGAGTGGCCAAAACCATCTACTATCATGTGATATTTTCCAGGGAAGAACCTTGGTTTCTTTTTCTCTTCCATGCACCCTATGAAGATAACGGCTGTGGCCGTCTCAACCACTCCAAAACCAATGGAGGCCAACCCATGATATTATTCTCACGAGGGCACATTTCTAGAAAGAAGTCTAAGATGGACAACAAACATAGATATCAAAGACCCTATCAATAGAGGTCCCAAGCGAGGAGTGGGTGGAGTATAAATACCCACCCCACCAGAAAGAGATGTTGGCTCAGTCAATTTGTGGATAATCTGTAACTTGATAACCCCTGGGATAATCTGCATCAGTAGTAGCAGTGTAGTGTCAATCCGTCGATTATCAGCACAAATAGATGGACAATTCACAGCTGTTCCACAACTAGACACATATGTAAGCTACAAGTGTCGTATGTCTCTCAGGTTTTGTCATATATTTTGAGCACTTTTTCAATGCAAAAGCCATGAAAAAGGTGTCGTCTATGATAGCCCCTCAATCAAAGGGAGGTAAATTAGAGGGTTTCAAAAGTTAAAGCGGTCTAAAAATCCAATTTTCTGAGCGAGGCAAATTGGATTTTTGCGATGGTTGAGTGAGATCATATAGACTTTAAGTTTTTTTTAAAAAAAAAATATCAGATGTTACTAGACCCGTTGCCACCCCTAGGGGATGAGGCCCAGTCAAAGAATGATGAAATCTAAAAGGGAGCATATCCCGGCCCAACTGGAGAGATGCAGCAGGTTCGCTCACCCAAGCTAAGCTGCTGGGTTGCTGCTAATCGTCGGCGCGCCGGGCTCATGATCGGAAATTCGGAATCAGATCCCCTCACCTCTTACCCCATCCCTGGCTCCGGCGAGCTATCGGAGCATGCGGCACCACCAAGCCTGCAGCCGCGCTCACCAGGTGGGCGCTCTGCTCCTCGTCGCTGCCACCTTCCTCCTCACCCGCCTCTTCGACCGCCTCCTCCTCGACACATCTTCCTCCGCCCCCATAAACCCCGGCCGGCCCTCCTCTTCCGCTGACCTCCGCATCTACGTCTACGCTGAGGACGAGATCCAGGGCCTCCGCGCCCTGCTCCGGGGACGCGACGGCACCATCACCGCCGCCACATGCCTCAAGGGTGACCGGACTGACAAACGTGGTACGAGTGCATTTAATACATGGAAAGATATTATTATACCTGGGAACGTGGATGATTCTATGGTGAAGCCTGATGCTCGTGCTGTCCAACCAATCCCGCTAACAAAAAGGAAGTACTTAGCCAACTTCCTTGGACGTGCCCAGGGGAAAGTAGGGCGCCTTCAACTGGTGGAGCTTGCAAAGCAGTATCTTGACAAGGTTAGTTTCCATTTCATTTACAGAATGAGTTTAAAATTGAATTAAAATAAAAATTACTCTCTCATTTCCAAATCATGGTTTTGGCTTTTCTAGATACATTGCTTTAACTATGTAGACATAGTGTATATCTAAGTGCATAGTAAATAAGATTATTGTAAATTTTTGTATGATTTCATTCAATATTAATGGATGAAAAGTTCTCTGCATTTTACGCCCTTTATTAATGGATGAAAAGTGATAATTCAAAGTCTGGCGCCTTAATTCAATTATCTGGGTATAGGCACATTGCAATGCATGGAAGTTGGCATTAAGCATCCTTGTTTAGTTGTCTACCTCAAATTAATCATGATTGCACCATATTCATTTTTCTAGGCTGCCCCTGTTGGACAGTGCTCTGAACACATCCTTTTTGTTTAAAACTCTGATCGCATGTAATGTAACTTTGGTTTTGTGAATAGCTGGAATCTCCAGAACTCAAGTTATCTGGCCCCAACAAATTGGGAAGGATCGAGTACTTCAAGCACCTGAGAAATGCAAAGTTCTGCTTGGCTCCACGTGGAGAGTCATCTTGGACACTTCGGTTCTACGAGTCCTTTGTGGTTAGCTATCCTATTTCTCCTCCTGCTAAGAGATGTTTTTTTTTAGCATGGTGATGATCAACTTGTGAGAATCTTGATGATAGGAATGTGTGCTGGTGATTTTGTCAGATGAAGTTGAGCTTCCTTTCCAGAATGTGATCGACTACAGTGAAATCTCGATAAAGTGGCCATCGTCCAGGATTGGACCTGAACTCCTTGAGTACCTTGAATCAATATCAGGTATTGCACTATACTCGTCCAACCTAGTTATTTTAGTTTTTCTAGTTATATAGTTTTTATTATGCACCTAGATATAAAATATGTTTAGATACATAGTAAAAACTCTTCCCTCCAATAATCATAAGTTTATAGTCATAAATATAAGGCACAGTACGCATATCAAGGTTCAAACTTTACGATCTTTAACCAATATAATTGGGCCTACAATTTTTTACTATTGTCATATAGACTTAATACGGTTATATTTGTAATAAAATATTTTATCCAATAATCATAAGTTTATAGTCATAAATGTATAATATAAAATAAATGAATGCTGGAAGTATATCCTAGGAGATCATGAAGCTGTGCATTATAAACTGGACCGAAGAGTATGTATCAAAACAACTTATAATCTGGAATGGACTAAGTTGTAGTTGTAAATTATGTTAAGGCTGCGTCGGATCAAAGGGAAGTTGACGTCTGTGGGTGTTGCAGATGAAAGGATCGAGGAAATGATTGGTCATGGGCGTCAGATGAGATGCTTGTGGGTGTATGCAGCTGATACTGAGCCGTGCTCTGCCATGAGCGGTATCCTGACAGAGCTGCAGAAGAAGGTGCGGCGGTTCCATCAATCGCCCGAAACGTTCTGGCTGCACAACAGATCGGTTGTGAATAGAGATCTGATTGAGTTCCACAGCTGGAGGACGCCTGTTCCGTTGCCCTGAACCATGGATTCTGATTTCAACTATAGTCGGCATCTGTTCTGTACCATGTAGACATTTTCTAGTGAAGCTGTGTTTGTTGTTCTTGCTAATCTTGAGAAGAAACACATACGTCGTGTTAAGGATTGACAATAGATTTTTGCTGTTTTTTTACTGTATCGAGATATCTCCCACTCGAGTCAACAAATTAGATAAAATTAGTCTTTGATCAATATTTTTCTAAATCCTATACTCTTATAAAGCAAAACTCCACTAACAATTTCTCTTACATGTAAGGTGTCTACCTCAGCAGTTCGCTATCACTTGCAATTAAAATTCGCTAGCACATGCAATTATAATATCCACGTTAGCGAGACACATTATCTACTAACATACATTTAGCTGTCCACGTCAACGTGCCACGCTATCCACTAACATTAGTTTATAATAGTGAATCTCTTCATAAGAATTGTATGAATAGTTAAATTTCACTCCAAATCAGTAGTTCTTAAATTTCATTCTAAATCAGTAGTTCCCACAGCAATGCGCGGGGTGTTCTTTTAGTTATTACTATTGGTAAGGGTTATTGATTCCAAAATATAGTGATTTGGAAATATTTTCTTAGGACAAATCTTCTAATATCATATTGCTCCTAGGTGTTAAACATTCATCGCTAATCTATCTACGTTTGTTTAAGTCTAGTTTTTCCAACTCTAACAATCGATATATAAAAGTCTATTGTACCTATACAATAATGTTAAAAGGAGGCTCATGTTCATTGAGAGGCCCTAAAAATTATTAAGATTAATAAAAAAAAGAATATGTACAGTTGGATTTTAGGATGATCTAACGGTCTAGATCTACCAAGTCATGCAAAGATCCTTTGCCTTCAATCTTGAGTCCTTTTGTGCTGCTTGACTCTGAATCACCTTTTATCTTCAACACTGAGGGGGGTCGATCACCTTCTCATCAAAGAGAGAGAGGGGGGGAGGGGGCATCTTCCTCCTATGCATGTGATCCACGGTGGCATAAACAGAATTTTAACTAGGGTGGTGCAATGTAATATATATTTTTTTATTAACAATATAAACGTAGCATGTCATGGAACATATATACTCTCTCTGTTCTAAATTATAAATCGCTTTTGACTTTTTTGGTACATCCATTTTGCTATGCATCTAGATATAATATTATGTCTAGATATATAGCGAAATGGATGAACAAAAAAAAAATCAAAGCGACTTATAATTTGAAACTAAGGGAGTACAATTTACTGAAACATAATACAATCATATATTAAAAAGTATTACAAAATTATACGGTTCGAGCAATAAACACTGAAATTTACATAAAAGCAACTTACTACCTAGATATATGGACAATACCATTATACCATTTCAGACGGGGGGGGGGCCTGAGTCCGCAAGGAAAGTTATAGGATCATACATAGAAAAATACAAGAGGGACACAGAATGGAGTTTTAGTGAAACTTGGATAGCGGTTTTCATCGAGGAATGGAGCTCACAGAAAGAAAACTGAAGGCAACCTTGATTTGGCATTGACAAGAATCTCACAAGTCAAAGCCACTAAATATTTGGGGGTGGGGGGAATGACTATATCTTGAACCAAAGAAGTTGTTGACGATAAGGGAAGAGGACAACTACAATTATCAATAAATAAAGAAAAACCTATTTGCAGAAGTTATTTTTAAAGTAAAAAGACCCAAATATTACCATGAAGAAAAACTATCTACACATGCTATTTGGACAGACCACCATGCCATATTACATAATAACACAAATTGAATTCATTACTAGATTCAAATTGTCGGGTTCATATACTCGGGTCCCCAATGGGCCCGCTTCTCAGCAAAAGCTCGGCCCAGCAGACGGCGTAGCAACAACACGCGCCTCCCGGGCCGTCCCAGATACTTAACGACAAGCCGGGAGAACGATCCGGTCCCCAACCGGAAGGCCTGGCCAAGGAGGGGACATAGTCCGACTCCGACCTCTTTTTCCGACTGAGAATACACCGAACCTCTGCTTGCAGCTCTTTCCCGACCGGGAATGATCGACCGGGGACGCCCGCTTGGTAAGGGCCCGGGGATCAGGCGGAGCAGATAAGGTAAGGCGCTCAAGTCAAATCGCAATACCGAGGACCGTACCCTGCGCACCCGCAGGATGGTGCCACCAGGCCATACCAGATAGGCACTTGGCGTGTTAGAACCCAAACAATGTTGTGGGCGCCGTCGTTTTCCGTACCTTGCCATGCCCCGCGCACCTGCAGGACGGTGCCGCCCGGTGAACACGGTAGAGCCTGCCAGACGCGTCTAGGAATAAATAGTATTGTGGGCGCCGACAATCGTCTCGTACCCGATGGTGTGAGCAACAAGACTAGGTAGCACACGTACGCACTCTCTCTCTTTCTCTCTGACTTGTAAGGCCATCCCCTTTACCTATAAAAGGGGATGAGCTCTCTCCCAACAGGGACGCTCTCTCTCTCTCTCGGCTCTAGACAACTTGAGCATTCGAACAGCTCCACAGCTCTAGAACTCAACAGCTACACAAAGTATACGCTCCAATACTTAGCGCACGTTAGAGCCCCTGTCACTCTTGGTTCTTCGGTTCAGAGTCCGACCGGGCCTTTAACACCCCCTTCTTATTCCTACTCGTTTGTAACCCCACAACAAACTTCGAGCACCCGGGCCTAGGAATAAAGTCACCGATCGACTGAAACTGGACATGGGGCACGTTGCCTGAACCAGTATAAATCCTGTGTCATTGAGTGCTAGGGCACATCCAATCACAACGCACGACAAAACTACAAATATTTACTTGTTGGTCACTTTTCGCACCGACAGTTGGCGCCGTCCGTGGGGAGGACGTCGTGCGTTCACGTTTTTGGTCATCGGATGGCCCATCTTTCCACCATCTTCGGCATGGCGGGCTCAAGCGATACGATTCGCTTTGGCTCGCTGGAGTTTCCCATGCTCCCACATGTTGGGATGTGGGTTCCTCTTGTCTTCAAGCCGCTCCAGACCTTTCTCTTCGGAAGTCTAAACTTCATCGCCGACCAACTCGGCGTACTCCGCCTCCGCGAGGAGGCACTTGTCCCGGCACCCACGGGAGCAGGAGCACCCTCCACTAGCCCTGGGCCACTCGACAACCTCAACATTGAGACACCCACGCTTCGCCTCGAGCCCATGCTAGGCTCAAACTCCACGGTGAGTAACGTATATATTGTTCTTTATTCACTATTTAACACTTTTCGCTGACTCTCTGGAGGGGCCCCATTGTTCCCACTGCGATCGCTGTGCGACCGGTTCCCCTATGGCTTTGTGTCCCCCGAGGACGACATACGTGAGGGGGCTCCGAAGGATGCTAATGCCGCCCCTCTCACATCCGAATTTGTGGGGATGGCGGGCTACGCTCCGCCTCCTTTCACGACCTCATAGATGACGAGGTCGAAAGCGATGGCTCTAGCATCGGCGACGCCGTGGCATGGCCACCCTCTGTCCTGGGAGTGCGCTATGGTGTATGCCCTGAGACAGCCACCAGTGGTAGCAGAATTTCTATAGACCCACACCCCTCCGGACCCTCGTGCAAAGGCCCTCACACGTGCGTAGGAGCACGGCGAGGAGTTACGACAAAGGCGACAGAGTTAGCCACCACCTGCGCTGGCGTGCTCGGCGCAACACGCTCCGCCACATGCACGTAACCCGGCAAGCGGCGCTTGGGGTCACGCTCACTAGGTCCAACGCAACATCCTGGATGGAGGGAACGATCCCCCACAGTTTGCTCGGGCTGGCCAGAACATCGCTGCTGCAACGATGCTTCTACGTGGCCTTCCCGAGCCTGCCGACCCCTAGGAACAGGCAATCCACCGGAACCTCTGGGCGCTGGTGGAAACCGCCACCGTTCAACAGGCGGAGAGCTTCGCGTCATGACACCGGCTCGTGGCCTCTTGCCCCACCGGGGGAATGGGGCCGCACCAGTCGAATCGCTCCATCCACTCACCACTACAGTTGACACGAGTGGGGCAGGAGGCCGTGGCTGCACCATAGCCTGACCGGACGTCCGCCCCACACCGACCACCTGTGCGCAAATGGCTCAGGCTGAACCATGATGCTCGTAGCATCATCAACAATCGGCGCCATGCTTGGCGCAATGTTGACGTCCATCAAGTGGTGGCGTGAGCAGGCGGCACGGGCCTCGGTCTGAACATCGAGGAGTGCGGGGACACACATCCCAGGCATGGCAGCCGACCAAACGATCGAAGCCCCAGCCTGGATGGCCCGGGGCCACGGGTCTTTGGTCGTCGCATCCAGAGAGCGCCGTTCCCACAGCGCTTCCGACCACCCACCAACATTGCCAGATACACCGAGGAAACAAACCCTGGTATATGGTTCGAAGACTTCCGGCTTGCTTGCCGAGCCAAAGGAGTGGTTGATGACCACTTCATCATTCAATACCTCCCCATCTGCGTGGGGGAGCATGTTCGAGCATGGCTCGAATTTCTCCCGCCTAACAGCATCCGCGACTGGGCAGATCTCAAGAGGGTCTTTGTCGAGAATTTTCCAGGGGACATATGTTCGTCCTAGGAATTCCTAGGACCTCAAGAGCTATCAGCAGGATCCCAATGAGTCCCTATGGGATTACATCCATAGGTTCTCAAAATGGTGCAACTCTCTTCTTGATGTCGTTGGCGTGGACGTCATCAGTGCGTTCCTCTCTGGGACAACCTGTGAGTCCTTGATCCACAAGCTCGGCTGTCGGAAGCCCCGTACCACCCGCGATCTACTCGACATCGCCATGAACCATGCCTCCGTTGAGGAGGCGGTCGGGGCGGTCTTCAGCGGTGGTCGGGACAAGGGCAAGGCCAAGCATGAGGACCAAGGCGAGGGCCCCTCCATGCAAAGGGGCAAGAAGAACAAGAAGGATCGGCGCCGATCGACCAACCCAGCTTTGGTCGCCGCAGCCGATCATGCGGGCAAGCAGCCCCAGTAGGGCTAGCCTGACCACTTC